TCAGCACACGGGAGAAGGTACGGCTCCTTCCCTGGCCCTGGATCGCTCCTCGGTTGCAACCTTTGGGATGTCTATCCCACCCCACTGCCAAAATCCACGGCTCTCAAGTGGCAGATCAAGGGTGTCCTGAACTCCTGGAGCACTGGGTTTTGCTCCTGCGCTGAGGCATGACACCACCTCTGTCCCAGCCATGGATGCCCCGGGCATGTCTCACCTGTCTCCTCTGGGGCCTGGTCCCACCTCCACCTCCTTGCCCCTGAGCCAAGCCTCAGTCTCCCTGCCTCAGTCTACAGGGGGCCTGCACTGAAAAGTGAAGTCTCTGGCTCTGAGTTCAACTCAGACCGGGAAGTTCGAAGGAAATCCATCGAAGAGAAAGAAGCTCCCTGGAGATGCCAGGGGGCCAATCCCCCTGCCGACACCAATGGACACCAATGGGACATGGGGCTGGAGCTGAGATCCAGAGCCTGGGTGGGCTTGGATGCCCTCTGACTTCCCTCTTCCTAGCAAATGGTGACTGGGAGATTCCCCCCCAGTCTCAAAGGGGACATCCTGGAGTATACCCTACCCATCCAGTCCCACTGCAGTAAGGCCAAAGTCTGCAGGAGCAGTTTCATTTGCCCACTTGAGCAGCCTTGCTGTTGGCAGAAGCATGCGTTTCCTCCTTTATCAGCTAGGGGTACCACTTCCAGCTCACAGGCATATATGACCTTGCTCCCAGCACACATGCTAAGGGACAACCCAGCCAGCGGGACGCTGCTCCCTGGGTGGAAGGGTGGCTGGGGTCAGACTCTTTCCACTCGTCTCTCTTCCTCTGCCTGAGTGCTGATGTTAGCTCTCGATGCATCCCTGTCTGACAAGAGGGTGGAAAAAGTGGGGAAACTGAGGCACACAGGTGAACGGGCCAAGGTCAGCGGAAGGGATATAAGATTCCTGCTCATTTGCTACGCCCAGGAGAGAGCGCTTCATTTTACCTCTCGCCAAGGCTATGCGTCCCCCTCCAGCACTGTCCCTGAGCTGCAGGAAGGCCAAGTATCCCAGGCTGGGCCGAAGGGGAAGAGGAGGCAGCTGTCTGGGGTGAGGAGCAGTCACAGCCACAGCCAACAGGATATAGCACTAAACAACTTTTGGTTGCCCAATGATCCCATCTCCTTACTCATAAACCTGTGCCACCAGGGGAAGGCTCCGAGGCCATGCAGCGTGCGTGCTCAAGGCGATGCCAGCTGCACCCCATACCCACACCAGAGGGTGCCAGGGAAGCAGAAGGCTTGCTGCTACAAGACCCCGTGCTGGTTGCATTCAAGCCATCCATGGGGAGGGTACTAGTAATGCACAAGCCACGACAACAGACGGAGGCGTCTTAACATTTCCGCATGCATGGGCACCTGCTTCCTAGCATCCCGTATCTCTGGCAAACAATGTGAATCAAGGGAGCAGTTGCGAAGGCAACAGCGAGTGCAAGCCAGGCAATGCTGGCCATGCTGGGCTGGGCTAAGGGCTTCACCCAGCCCCAGGTGGAAGAACCAGCTCCTTCTCCCAGAGAACTGGGGCATAAAGGTTGGCCCCGGCCCCGGCCCTGCCAAAACATTACTTTCACCCATGTCTGTGTGACACTCGAGCTGGTGAGCCACCCATGTCAGCTGAATGGATGGTGCTGAGCAGAGCAAGCAGGCACCCTGACGGACTTTTGGAGCTGAGTAACGATCTGCGCGATCCCAGCAATGATCTGTTTGACCCCAACCCTCTCCTTAGTTGCTCCCCCTTGTCCGCACTCATTCAGCTGATCTGATGCCTTCCCTCTCTTGCCCGCCCCGGCGGGTGGGAGGTCTCCGTGGCATCTCCTTGATCCCGTTAGCAGGGAGGGGAGCATGGGGTTGGCTGCAGGGGTCCCGCCGCGTTGCAGACAGCATCACCATGGCAACCCCGACGGGGAAGATGCTGCACAGAGTCCGAGTCAAACTGAAAGGAGGGTGGAGGAGGTGGGGGATTAAGGAAGAAGAAGCTCTGTGTGAGGCAACCCCCTTCCCGCACCTTTGGCTGGCCTGCCAGGCAGGCCTTCAGGGCAGAAAAGAAATCCCTGGCTCTTTCTTGCAGTGGCAGCAATAATGTCAGGCGTCCAGGTGGTAGCTATATGGGTCTAGAGGCAGAAGGAACCAAAACTCGTGGAAGAGGTGGTGTCTTTTATTAGACCAACTAGATATTTGCACACATGAATCATATCATTTCAAAACCAGGCTCCTAGCCAGGGAACAAGCAGCCTCATAGTCCTGCTGGGGAATCCAACCAGAGCGCCCTCCCCGCTTGCAAAATCACCCTGATCACTGGCCAGCTCAGGCGGCACCTGCTCTTTTGCTTGCCCTTTATCTTGGCCACCATGAAAAATTGACTGGGGCTTTGCTTGTTGAGCAAAAGAAGTTGCTGGCCCCGAGGTAGTAGGAGTTTGCGAGCTGCGTCTCCTTCCTAGCACCTGTGTCCAGGCCAGTTTTTCTACGAGCCGCATCAAAGGTCTCCCCGTGTTTTGCTTCCTTTGCTTTTCTGCTTTCTTCTGGTTAAACCATTTGGCTGGGGCTCAGGACACCTGGGTTCAGTGCCCAGCTTCATCTCACTGACTTGTGGGATCCTGAGCAAGTCGCAGCCCCCCAGCACCTCTGTTTCACAGCAGCACAGTGGCAGGGCTAGCACTCTCTTGCAAGGGGGGAAGCATGGTGCAATGCTCCGACATTAGGATGCCATGGCTTTGCAATCAGCCAGCTGCACCGGGCAGCCAAACCTGTTTCCATGGGATTTCCAGCACCTGGATGTGGGGCTTGATGCGTATGGGGCTGCTCTCAAAGGGCAACCCGGATTTCAGGCAGGGTTTCACTCCTCCCGCAGCAGCTCCTAGTGTTCAGTGTTGATTCAGCTCAGCGTTCACCGATCCCCCACGTTTCTGAGTTCAGCTCAGCATCTGGGCTGGATCCTGGCCCTTTGGAGGTTCCCAGTAAATGCCAGGTGTGTGGGAGGAAGCATCCAGGCCATCCCAGTGGAGAGAGAGGACCACTAGGCCGCCTCTCCACAGACAGGGAGTCCAGCCCCCGCGGTTGGCAGCGCCATAAAAGTGGAGGCTCCTAGCCACGCTCTGTGTTGGGTGCATTTAAATATAGCCTAGTCTATTTTGGGATCTCTATCAGCTCGGCAGGTGGCCTGCTTGCATGAAAACCTCCGCCGCGTGCTTCACAGCTCGCTGTGGCTGGGCACCGGGCAGGGGTGGCGTGGTTACCAGTGGGCTGAGTTTGGGAGGTCTCTGTTCAGTTCAGACCCCGTAGGAGGTTAGGTGGGGGGCTCTTTGCAACTCATGTGTGCTTACTGCCAGGACTCTTGTTCCTATAAGTGATGGAGAGCGGATGGATGGGGGTGGTATCCTATCTACTGCAGGTATAACTGGTGGGCACCTGCTGCGGGGGCTTCCTGCGCATGGGTCCCATTTGCTATTGCCAGACAAGGATGAGACTCCTGGAGGCTGGGGTCAGGGGGGCAGGAGGTTTTCTGGAGCTTGGGGCGATGGGGTGTCTTGGGCAGCAGGGTCGTGCCAAGGGCACAGCAAGGCTCATGCTGGGGACATGCCAGTGATGCCCTTCCCAGCTGGGAGGGGAGCAAGCACATGAAAGTGGCCTGAAGGGCTTTTGTGCAAAGGTTGCATGGCCCCCTGGTGAATAATGGATCAAAGACGCGGAGCAGCCCGCTGCCAACATGGCCCTGGGGCCCTGCTGCGATGCTTTCTCTGCTTGGAGCCCTTTGAGTCTCTCCTCTGCCCCCCAGCACCCCTGGGGGCAGAGACCACCACAGCTGCCCCGTTCTCCACTCCCTGCTGCAGCAGTGGAAAGGGCAGTAGCAAAGGCCACGTCCCCCAGGAGATCTGAAGCCTTTTGGCTGGAGCATGGCGCCAGTGAGAGAGCAGGGGCCGGACTTGTCCATCGTGACACCGGCAGGGAGCAGGCAGAGGGGCTGGAGGGTGTTTCAGGCTCCTAAGTCCTAGAATCAGGCCCAAGGGGGTGCAGCGGATGGGGATGGCCGTCGGCTCCACCCAGCCCAGGAGCTTGCCTCCTCTGGGACCCCTACCCCGCGGGCTCAGGGAAGGATGCTCCCACCTGCTTGCTCCGCCACACCTGGGCACATGGCAGTGCCGCTGTGCGGGAGGTGCCCTCAAGGTCCTGGTGTCCAGCAGGCTCCAGGGCAGGTGTGCGGAGGTGCCCTGCTAAGCTCAGGACTTGCCTGGCCCCGACAGACTTCGCTCAGGAGAGAGATCAGCTCAGGGGAAACAACTCCCCCCATCCGCGGGGAGTTTGGCCCCTTTGCCACGGCAGCAGAGTTTGCCTCCCTCCTGATTACACCCTTTCCCCCACACTGGCGCCCATCCCTGCTTCCTGCCAAGCTCGGGCAGGGGGTGCGACCTCTGCCGTGGTCCCTAGGCGCGATGCAGCGGCGCTGGGAGAGGTGTCTAGCATCTGTCATGTGCAGCTGATTCATCCTTTCCTTCCCAGGGGAAATGGCACGTGGGGTTTTTTTTTAAGTGGCTGTGTTATTTCTGTATTCAGCAGAGCCAAAGCGGAGGGTATTGGGGGTGGCCAGGATGGTATCGGGGGTGGCTTCTACTTTCTCAGCAAGGCTGTTGCAGGTTGGGAACAGGCTCCAGGAATGCCAGGCTTCCTGCATATGTGAGCTTCACCCTGGCAGTGCCAAGGGGTCAGAGGAGCAGAGTTGGATTACAGGAACCCCACGAGGGCCTGGTCAACAACGTGGGCTCAAAGCGCCAAGGGGTCGTGCCCCAAAAAGCCAGGCATCTCCTTGCATTGGAGGCCACACTCAGCAGGGATCCTCATAGCCTCCCTGTCCAGGGGGCTTGGCCGTGTGCTGTCACCCCCAGAGGATGCAGAGAGGGGCTGGGTGAAGACGCTGGGCTCCCATCCCTTGGAGGGGGGCAGAGGGGCATCTCTCAGCCCATGTCGCCCACGTTCCCCTTGCAGATGGCGGTCCCAAGAAGCTGCGCAGCAACATCCGGAGGAGCACGGAGACTGGCATCGCGGTGGAGATGAGGAGCAGGGTGACGCGGCAGGGCAGCCGGGAGTCCACCGATGGCAGCACCAACAGCAACAGCTCCGACGGCACGTAAGGCCTGGGCTCGGGTGGGCATCCAGGTGCAGGAGCAAGGACCTGGGTGGGCTCAGAGGCCACGGCTGCAGCTCTGCCTCCAGGGCACATGCCTTGGGCTGCGGCGGCTGGTCCGATGTAGGCAGCAAGGAGGCCTCTGTGATGAGGAGGCTGCCTAGGGCAGTGGTCTCCTGGGCTTCGCCTGGCCTCATTAGCAAGCCCTAAGCGATGGGGTTTGCTTTGAGCCATTCTCCAGGGAAACAGGAAGGACGGGTGCCCTTGGGCTCAGCCCAGCAGGACCACAGGGTTATGAACAATTCAGAGCAGCCCCCAGAAGGCAGAGATGAGTAATTGGATTTATTTTTGGGTCTGGACAGGGGATGGGTGAGCTCCACCACTCCCAGCTCAGCCACAGATGCACCACAAGGAGGTGCTTCTCCTCTCCCGTGCCTCAGTTTCCCCTTCCGCGTCAATGGGCCCCTGCTTTGAGACCCTCGGGCAGGAGATGCTTCCCCATCCAAAAGCCTGGGGGCTGCAACCCCATTTCTTCAGGGGCACGTCTCACCCCAAACATCCCGTCGTTCTCCTCTTCCTTCCCCCCCAACCCAATTTTAGGTTCATTTTCCCCACCACCCGACTGGGAGCCGAAAGCCAGTTCAGCGACTTCTTAGATGGGCTGGGGCCGGCGCAGATTGTGGGCCGGCAGACGCTGGCGACGCCTCCGATGGGTGAGTCCCCACGGCACGAGAGGGTGGGGGCACCCCCGGCCCAGGGAGGAAGGAGCAGTGTTTCTCTGCACCCAGCCGGCATCTTGCACTCCAAGGAGGCCGATGCTCGCACTCCTCGGTGTAGTTGCCTTGTAGCTGCACGCGAGGGTCCAGGGCAGCTCTTTGGAGGATGCCTTTGGTTCACACCTGCCTGCAGACGCAGGGGACTGGACTCAGCAGCTCAGGCAGCCCCTTCTAGCTCCGTGCTCCTAAAACAATTCTCTTGCTTTGAGTGAAGCAGGCCCCTTTTCCCCCGATGATGTCCTGTCCAAGGGTTTCTGCCCTCTCTGCAGTGAAATTCTGCCATTTCTGGAGCGGAGCAGAGAAAACCAGCATCAGAGGGATCATCCGAACAGGGGATGGGTGGTCTGGAGACCTGCGCGGCGGCTGGAGGAATAGCCAGGCCTTTAATAGCAGAGAAGTCTTGCCTCCGCGCCCCTCCCCGCAGCAGGAGGCAGGGCCCAGCTCGCCTTGGGGGCTGTTGTGTGTTTAATGCCTTTTTTGAATAGAAGTTTCTGTAGCAGTTTTGAGAGCAGAGAAGGAAAGGAGCCACTTTGCCTTAGGGCACAAGGGAAACCCCCGAGCCATTCACTCTCCCTCCCTGACGCTCCCTGCCGTAGCCACAGTCATCTTTGACAGCGCCCTCCCAGTTCTCGTGGGGTGCCCTGCCTCTTGTCCCACCTGCCTCTTAAAAGCAAACTTTGCTCCAAGCTTTCCAAGTTTTATAAACCGCAGCACAACATGCTGCCCTCACCTGCTCCCTCCCCCTAGGCTTCAGGAGATGGTGGCAGGTGTGCATCCAGTGATGGGACCTACTGGCTACGCACTCCTGAGGCTCGCGGGTGTAGGCGCTGCCTTGGACAAAGCAAGCAGTACCTGGGAAGCGTTTTCTTTCCCTTTATATCCCTTCTGGTTCATGTCTCTCTTTTTCCCTCCGCGGCCTTTCCTGCTGCAGGTCGTGTCATTTTTGCTGGATGCTTAGTCCTTGCACAAAGGCGCTGGGGAAGGACTTTGTCTTTGCTTCCTCTTGCTCCTGCAAACCAAACTCTCTCCCTGCTGAGCTGCTCACTGTTGCAGCTGCAGCGGGAGAACGCATGGGCCTCTGCTGCCCTCTGCCAGCCAAGGAAAGGAACGGGCACAAAATCAAAAAAATTAAGGATTTTTGTGGGTGATCCCTTCTTGCACCAGCTGCATGGTTGAGATAGACTCGAGAGAAGCTATCGGGTCTCACCGTACCCTTCCTCGGATCTCTGCCCAAAGATAGAAATGACCCGCACAAAGACTGAGTTTTAGAACAAGTTAGCCTTGTTGGTGCAAAGTCAAGGTAGGGCAGGTCAGCACCTTGAACTGGTTTAGTGCTTTAAGGTGCCAACTTGCCCTGCCTTCTATGAGAGGTTTAGACGGGGGTGGGAGATGTATGACTAGAGGGAGGATTCGGCCTTGGTAGGTGCAAGACAGGGGCGGTGGAAGGAGTCTGTCTGATGCCAAAGAGCCTCAGGAATCTTGAAGCCTGGATGGAGACACGGACCCTCTCTAGGATTCTCTAGCAGCCCCCCGAAAACGAGCTGCAGCTGAGGCAGGGCAAGTTTCCACCCCAGACTTATAGCAAACTAATTGTTGGGGACTCATCCCGAGTAGGACCCACAATGTTAGAAAGAGGCCAATGACCCCTGCGCTCTTCCTCACCCCCAACTCCAGCACCGTGTCCTCAGCTCTTCCTCGGGTGCCTGCAAATGCTTTCCCGTTCTTGCTGAATTGTCTTCCTAGCACACCCATCCCCAACAGGTGGCAACCTCCCAAGCAGCTGTTTCGGGTTGGGGAGAAGGTGTGTTTTGCAATGGATGGAGAGACATGGATGTGCATAGACAGACAGACACAAGACCCTGGATGTTTCAGACATCCTGTGTTAGCATGCTCAGCTTGGCCCCTGGATGGCTGCCCAACAGGCGTTGCCCTCCTCTGAACGCTCTCCCACTTGGCCCTGCTCTGGTAAGGTGCCTAGGCTCTCTGAGATATGTTCCCATCCCAACTTTCTCCAGAAAGCGGTCTTCAGTTATTTCTAAGCTGTTCAAGGTGGAAGCCCATCTGCTCAGCAGCTCCGTGCTCCAGCCAAGCTCCAGCACCCGAGCTGCTCCAAGACCCTGGGCATGAAGGACTTAGCTCTGCAGCACACCTGAGGCTTTAGAGAAGCTGTGGGATGGTGGAGGAAGCCCCAGACCAGCAGGCAAAGAGGGCATAGCTGTTGAACCCAAGGGCAACGATGGGTTGTTTGCTGGAGCAGGTTTGGACATATGGGCATACAGCGAAGATCCATGGCTTCAGCCGAGTGTGAGGCTTCCTTCACACACGATGGCACTGGATAAGGCTGTTGAGTCTCATGTCTCTCCTGTCTGCTCTAGGTGATGTCCACATTGGGATGACCGACAGGAATGGGCAGCTGGAGGTGGAAGTGATACAGGCCAGAGGCCTCATGCCGAAGATGGGCTCCAAGTCCATCCCTGGTAGGTGTCCATGTCTCAGTCCTAGCACAACAGCCCTGCAACAAAGTAGGGCATGACCTTACCTCTGACCAGCCAAGGGACCCACCTTCAAACACCCCATTCCCAAACCACCCACTCTTCCCACTATAGTGCAGGGCATGCTCTGCAGTGCGCCTCAGTTTCCACACTGCAAAAGAGGGCCAAAACCAGTGGTTGCCATAGATGATGGCAAGAGCTTGTTTTCCATTTCTCTCTTCATTGTTTTCTATTTTTGCTGATCCAGCAACCTATGTTAAAGTCTATCTGTTGGAGAATGGAGCCTGCTTGGCCAAAAAGAAGACCAAGACAGCCAAGAAGACCTGTGACCCATTGTATCAGCAGGCCCTGCTCTTTGACGAGGGCCCTCAGGGCAAAGTGCTGCAGGTGAAGTAGCGTTGCGGCAAGGGGAGTTGGGACAGCATCGAGGCAGGCCCCACCGGAGAACCTGGGACTCCTTCACAGGGACGAGGGAGAACAGTGTCTGGCAGTTTGGGACTCTTGGGGTCCATCCACAGCTCTGCCCCTCCATGAACTTAGACAAGTCGCTTCCCCTCACCCTAGTCCCACTGGCTCAACACGAGTCCTAATGCGGCTTTGCCTTGGAGTGGCATTGCTATGCCTAAAGGGGCATTGACCCCGGGATGGAGGGACTTTTGACCTTTCCCTCCATCCAGTCCCTTTTAGATATATGCACAAGGCCATGAACCATGAAACCCACTGCTTTTGTCTTAGGACCACCCTTCCCCCCCAACAAAAAATGGCAACGGGTACATTTATGGAAGGGCCTGCCTACCTTCCCCCACGTAAGCACTGCTGGATGGGAGGAACAAGGGCAAGAAAATCCCCAGATCTATCCAGCTTTCCTCCTCTGGTATGGAGCCCTGCCTAGGCTCAGAGCAACACAGGGCCAGAGGGGCAATGGAAAGGTCATGTCTAGTCCATCCTTCTACATAAGGACCATCCCAGTTGTCTACACCAGCTCTGACAACTGGTCGCCCAGCATGCCCTTGCAAACGCTGCGTGCTGGTGACGCCACACTTTCCCCAGCCGATCCGCTCCAGAGCTCAGCCACCTTCATGGGGAGGAAGCTCTTCTTCAATAACTGACCCGAACTCTCCCCTGCTCCCCTTACAATTGATCTCGGCCCTCTTTGCAACCAGCTTTTTTTTGCCTACCAAATACCCATTCCCTCCTCTCCTCACCAGGCTGGATGACCCCAGCGCTCCCAGGCTTTCCTTATAAGCACAGGTCAACCCAGCTAACCCCCGCTCTTCCCTTCAGGTCATCGTGTGGGGAGACTACGGCCGCATGGACCACAAGTGCTTCATGGGGATGGCGCAGATCGTCTTGGAGGAGCTAGACCTGTCCAACATGGTCACAGGCTGGTACAAACTCTTCCCCACCTCCTCGCTGGCAGACTCCAGTATCGGCCCGCTCACCCGCCGCCTCTCCCAGTCCTCTCTAGAAAGCTCCACGAGTCCTTCCTGTCCGTAGGGGGTGGGGATCAGGGCTGCTGGGAGAGGCTGGGGGGGACGGGGACGAAAGCAACTCAACCTACCAAAACATTTCTGTGGAACAGCTGTAAATATTCTGTCTTTTTTCCCCCCCTTCCCAAAACAAACACGCTCTCTCGCCGCGTTCCTCACCGACCTCACCATCCCAACGTGCAGGGAGGGGGAATTTGGAGTGAGGGGACAGGGACGGGAAGGGAAAAAAAGGAGAATCAAGAGAAAAAAAAAACACACAAAAGAACCCAAGAAAATCCCTGTGATGCAGAGCAAATCCCGTGACTACCAGCCCCAAGACTGTTACGGCAACTCATCAAGTCGTTTTTGAACGGGAGTCCAACGACGCCACGGATTTCCCACCCAGAAACCAGGCATGAGCCTCTCTGATCCGGTTCACTCCACCCGACTGCAAGTAGCATGCTAACTTGGTTTTGTTTTCCCTCAATTTTAAATTTTTCCTTTGAGGAAAAAGGTAGCTTTTTGGGGGAAAAAGGAAAAAAAAAAAGATCCAACTCAGCACTACTAATTTATTTTCAAGGAATGTAGCATCTTATGATCTTATGTAGCCTGCCACATGCTAATTTAACCCACTTGTCCACTCTGCAATATCTCCAAGGGACATGCTACGTACCCCGCGGGAAACATCCATCATTGCTTCCTGGTTTCTTAGTTTCCTGGCATGGATCGCGAAACATTGTGCAAGCAGTTCTGTTGAACGTTTCTTTTTTTTGGTAGCATGTAGCCTACGATAAGCAACTGCCACAAGAGGAGAGGGAAGAACAAGGTGCATTTGACCTACATCCGTGATGGTTCTCGCTTGACATGTCACCTTTTAAAATGAGCGGGCAGGCTCTCCCCTTCCCCTCTCAAAGTGTCAATGTTGTGACACCTCGCACAGCAACTGAAACAGGGAGAAGGTGATGGAAAAAGGGAAAGTTGCAGCCATGGCAGAACTGGGCTCCTTATCAATCTCTTCCTTGTGCGTCGACAGCTGCTCGAGGGCCGGCTTGAAGTCTGAACATTTCCACTCTCAGTTGCTTGAACTGCAAGTAGCAAGCAGGGGGCTTACCAGAAAGATGGGCAGAATGTACCTTTTTCCAACCCTCGACTCATCGGTACACAACGGGGCAAGATCTCAGTAGCATCCCTTGCTGTTCTGGAATTAGGATGACGGATA